GGGGGGGGGGAGGAGGCCCTGAGCGCTTGGCGGGGGACACGAAATACCATAAGTACTTCTCGTTCACTTCCGGGTCCATTACTGAGCATGCAGGCCCCCTCTCTCCCATGCTCCTGTGGGATGCTCCATCTGCCCCACCATCTCAGTGTTCACGAGCCATGCTTGGTACCTCAGGGTATGTAGAAAAAAAATTTAAAGCTGTGTCTGTGGCCAAATCACTGATTCTCCGAATCAGCATCTAATCTTCAGATCAGTCAGGACAGTGATTGAATCAGCAAATCAAACCATTGTCCCCTGATTCAAGCCAAATCCAAATCGAATACAGCCCTTTTCGCACACCTCTAATGTCCACCCACATTCACATAAGCATTATAATGCATGAATGCATCCCAAAAGAAATAAATCTGAAAAAACTGTTAAAATATCTGTAATTTAGTTTAAGATTATCAGCTTTCCATTCTGCAATGAAGTTTATACGAATTACTTTTTAATGTAATTTTTAAAAAGTAAACTTTCAAGGCAATATGAATATTCACTTTGAGATTCCTTTGCTTCTACAGGAGTGTTTGGGTATGAGAACTGAATTTGTTCCTAGTGATCTAAACAAGTCTGCTAAGCAATAGGAAGCAGCATATAACTTCAAATGTTAAATTATGTAGTTCAGTCACAATACAGGATTCCATTTTGAAGCTCAACTGCATTTTAGGAACAATCAGTCTTACAACTGTATACAAAAATAGCCCAATTCTATGGTACTTGCATGTATAAAAGTCTGTTAAAGATCAGTGGTAGGTCACTCATGGAATGCCAGTAAAAGACACATTTACAAAAAGCTTCTAGACTTGTCATAAAGGCAAATGCCCTTGTAGATTCTGGGGCATTTGGCCTCCTGGGAATAGGTGAAAAGAAATATGAAAAGGTGCTTCCAAATATTTTTTAAAAACCCATACCAGTGGATAATGTAAAAATTGCAATTCTTTTTGGCAGCATTCCCACTCTACAAAAGTCTACACTGACACTGCTATTGCTGGAGGGCATTATTTTTATAATGGTGACTCACAAGCTGTTCACTGCTATTAGGTTAAAAAAAATCATGATGATTAGGATTCCCAAACCATTCTAATATGAATGATATATTTTACTAAAGACATTATATGTTACTGCCTGGGTTCATTTCTTTCAAGCTGTTCTTATTTTCAAGTATTTATCTTCTGTATATACTGTTCTTTCTATTATACTAGAAAATGGTCTAACTGATAAAATGAGGGACAGTATACAACAGATTCATTTTACAGTAACATTTGTGGAATGTAGGTTTTTACAGTAACAGCAAATGTTTGATCACAAGACAAAAGATAGAAACACTAAAAGGTGTAAAAAAAGAATCCCAGTAGATTTTATAACATTCAAGAACTAAGCATTTTCATCTTTGAGCCATTCCTGTTCTACTCATATAACCAGGCTGACATTCATATTGCTCCTTGTTTTTCCACAACTGTGAAAACCTGTCTCTTTCTTTCCATTCCAAAGGATAAAATCCCACTCTGAAGCAGCAAAGCATGTATGCATTATATAAGTCAGTGGAGTTTTAAAATACATGCCCAAAGGTAAACACAGAGTTAAATGCTTTGCCAAAGCAAGACCTAAAACACTTGCTCATATCCTTATCATTTTTTGCCATCACAACTGTAACCATTTTGTCTAGGGCGTCTTGTTAATATATCATCCTTGTTCATTCTATTCAAACCACAACAGACAAAATTATCTTCCTTGACGTTCAATCAAGTCATGTGAGCCCCCGCTTTATTAAAACTTTTTATTAAAGCTTTCCAATTTTTTTCTGTAATGAGTTTCAATTTATTGTCAAATCTCAGTAAAATCTCAGTAAAACTCTCTCATCTCTCACTCTCTACCATAAAATAATTTCCTACCGCATGAACTTTACTCTGCCAGTTAAATGGTACATTCTCTGTGTAGACAATGCTTATTACTCTGCCAGCCCTCTGCACAGAAAGTATGCTGTCCTTCCCTACTCTTTTTATGCTCACAAATTCAGTACATTATTTTATTATTTTAATTAATTATTAATTTTAATTAATTATTAATTAATAATATTTTCAAACAGGTTGATTTGCAAAACCATATATTTATGTTTAATTATAATAGAGACATCTACAATAAACACACCTACCTCTACATTTATAAGTGATCTATAGATGTAGATCACTTTCTAATTTATTTCTTCAGAAAGGTATTAAACACATACTATGTTAATTCTCATTTAAATATGGGAACATACTTAAGTATTTGCTGAATCAATGCTTTAGAGAAATTTCTGAACACTGTTTTTCTTTCACCTTCATACTTGTTTAGATCTAATATCACTAGATAAAAGTATAAAGCAACAACTCCTATCATTAGTGATGCAATGTAAATGAAATATGTTAAATATGCAGTCTATTACATTTACTTAATAACATGAATCCTGTCCTTGAAACAGCTACTTTCAAAAAGTTATTGCATACATAGAACATAAATATTAAAATTCAGAATATGAAATCATTAAAAATGTGAATATTTTTTACTTGATAAAATTGTCTCAATTTGGAGACCGTTGAAGTTTGTTTTGCTAAGGACGGAATAAATCAATCAATAGAGGCATACTTTGGGTTAGAAAG